AGACATCACCTGGGCTCTGTTCAACACGCCGACTGAGAGGAACGTGTTTAGTCAGCACAGTAATTATGTGCTGCTCGCTCGCTGCCGTGACACAATTTAATATTTAATATCCTTCAGCAAAACGTGGCTTGTTTCGAAATCCTCATATGCAGACAGATGAAAAATCTCGCTCAGAAAGGATCAAAATATGCGAAACGCATTGATCTTTGTGGCAGGCTTGGCACTCCTGTAACTCAGACGAGTCTAACAATTATAAAACTGCTGCAGTGCGCACAAAAAGCAGGACTATTTCTCAAGTTTTCGAGTGAAGCTCCTCGTTGTCGGTGTATCCTCAGAGGCGAAGCTCTCTCAGCTGAAGAGTACTGAGGCAGACACCTAGACTCGACTGTGAGTGCTCTGTCAGAACGGGTCTCTGACAGTAACCGCAGAATATTTCATTAATTAATGAGCGTTTTGTGGTGCTATTAAAGCACTCACACGCCCCATCTGGCACTGAGCTCAGGCTTTTAACACATTTACTCACTCCAGAGCTCAGTGTGAGGAGCTGCGGAGGCAGCTGCAGAGGGAAGGAGAGGAGCATGCTAAAACTTTCAGCACGTGAAGTATAAAGATGTGTTTCTGCACTCAGATGTGGCAGTGTGAGTCCTAACCATGCTCACCAGATATGTCCAGAAGTTTGTACACACCTGCTCCTCCAAAGTTTCTTATGAAATCAATAGTAATAATAGAGAGTTTGCTGCAGTAAGAGCAGAGACGGGATGTAAGGATACACGAGTATTGGGAGGATGAATTCAGAATACGGAAATTAAGGTCACATTTTGTGAAGGCAGTATTCAGAATACAGTTACTTTTATATATTAGGAGTATACTTTTATATAGAGGTTAAAAAAAATCAATAATTTTGTGTTCCCTTGCAAAACTTGGTGTTCCCTCACAATAATTTTGTTTCCTTGCAAAAATTTTGCTACTCCTGCAAATGTTTTGCATTCCCTCACAACAATTTAGCATTCCCTTGCAACATTCTAGGTTCCCTTACAATAATTTTGCATTTAATCACAAATGTTTTGCCTTCCCTTGCAATAATTGTGTTGCCTTGCAAATGTTTTACATTCCCTCGCAATAATTTTGTTTCCTTGTGAATGTTTTACATTCCCTTGCGAATGTTTTGCGTTTCCTTGCAAAGGTTTCGCACTCCCTTGCAAATGCAGTACGTTTTTGAAATAATGCAAAATAATAACAAAGGAATGCAAAAAAATTTACAGGGGAGTCTAAACATTTTGCAAGGGAAATTTTTTTTTTTCACAAAGGCACTTTAGAGGCTCCATACTTTTAGCATACTTACCCACTACATAAATAAAAAAATCTACAAAATAAACACCATCAGTGCTTGTTTATCATCTATGGCATGTAGCAAACATGCTCATTAGACAAATTCTAAAGAGGACCAATTAATGGCTTTTTTACAAACACTAAAGTTCCTACTAAAGCCTTAGTAGACTGACAAATCAATGTGATGAGTTATTTGCCCCAGCATTACTGAACATTTCTGAGGAGTGGTTTAACTAATAATCTCCAGTTGTGGACATGTTTGTGGGTGATAAGTTTAGCATTGGTGTTGTGCTGGACTCCTGCTCAGGGATTCTGGGAGCAGAAGTGGACTGTTGAGAATTTTTGGAATTTCATTCAAATGATACATTTTTCAGAAATTCTGCCAAAAAGCATCAGTAAAGTCAGGTACTGATGTCAAACTCGAACTCATCATTGGATGGTGCACCATATCTCCAGAGAATGCAATTCCACTGCTCCTCGGACCAGTGCTGGGGAGCTTTATACCCTTTTAGCCAACGCTTGGCATTGGGCTTATGTGCGGCTGCTCAAGAGTATACCATTCTATTGACCGTGTTTTTCTATGGAGATTATACAAACTGTGTGTGTGCAGTTGAACGCTGAATTCATAGGGATAAATGCCTGAATACTTTTAGACATATAATAAAACGTTTGCAAAAGATAGACAAAGGGGGATTTGTTTAAAATTAGTTGCTTCTCTGGTGTAGGCCTATGCAGATATAATTACAACATGCAACACATCAGGGATTACATATTCCAGTGTGTGCTGATGGCTATTACTGTGTAATAACTCGGACATTACACAGGCATGATACAGTTGTAAAAATCGAGATTTTGTCCTGTTTTTATTATATTACCACTTTAAGTGTTTATTATTTAGCCCTTGCAGTGCTGTTTCTCGATCATTCCTTGTTATAGCTTGGATTAGATGTCACTTAATGGAGTCATGCTTTGAGAGGCCATATTTGATAATCACATGCTTATTTGGAGATGCTTCTCACAATAAGCATATCACTGTTGCAATAAAACCTTGTCTCTCTCTGTAATGGTAACTTGATAAGCTTTTCAAGGTTTATAAATTTAACATGTTTTCATGACAAGTATTTTTGGCTCATTTATATCGTTTCATTCATCATGAAAGAGCAGCTGGCATTTTAATGGGACACTGAAATTCCAACTCTCTGTCCTAAAGGTATTTCATTTTGCATGCATTTTGGACGAAAACCTTTTCAAAAATATTGTAATTCAACATCTTGGGTATCAGGCAACACATTCGGAAACATTTCTTGTAATAACTTTCTGTAATGTAGCTTTTAGAGACATTAAACACTCCAGACGTCTGGTTCCAATCACTGCTGAGGACAATTGTGACTCAGTATGTCTAGAATGGAGCATTTTACATCAAACCACTCTTGACTGATTAGTGCAGCTTGAAAAATGCAGAAATTGTGAAAATTGGTGAAATTCCCCCTTAAATGGTGCATAAATTGAAACATTAAACAATAAAAAAATGTAGTTATAAGGGAAATGCCTATCAGATATCATGACATATGGATATATATAAACAACATGGGAACTCGGCTCCCTTCAGAAAGTGAGCAATAGTTTAAACTAACACAGCAGATCCTCACCTCACCCTTTTGAGCCTAACAATATGACACACACACACGTTGGGAGCGCAAAGTGCCGAGAAACTATTTGAAAGAAAGACAGTTGTGATAAATATGGCAAACCACATGAAAGTGATGCAATCTGTCTGCTTGATCCGACAAGACCTCGAGGCCTTCGACTGTTTCTGATGCTGTGTTTACTTCCCCATTCCCCATCTCTAACTCTACCTCCCCCCTCAGTGCCTCTGTCCTCGGGGAAGTCACAGCTTCAAAACACGCACAAGGAAAGAAAAATAAGCTTTCAACCATCCAGAGTCTTCGCCCTGCCTTCACTGGAACAAAATACACCATAGTACTGACCCCGTTTCAAAGCGAACTGCAGTTTACAGCAGCGTACCTTTAGCTTTAGTTTTTTTCCACTTGATTTTAGAAGGTTGCCTTTTAGTTTAGATTTAGGCTCAGATTCATTGTTGATCCCTGGTTAGAAATTAGCCATGTATGTCTAGTTACCCTATGTGGGACACATATCATGGGACATACACGTTGTAGACACCTTCTCATCCAATGTTTCTTCTGAAATAAATGGTATTCATAGGGAGTTACAGTCTCTACTTTTCTGTGAAGGCTTTACACTAGATGTTGGAACAAGATTTGATTGCAGAGCATTCAGAGCATTAGTGAGGCCAGGTACTCGTCTTGAATAGTTTACTGTGGTGTAAAAACGCCACTCCAGTTCATCCCAAAGGTACTGGACGGAGCACCATCACTCCAGAGAAGGTGGTTCCACTGCTCTAAAGCCCAATGCTGGGGGGCTTAATACCTCTCCCACCAAAGCTTGGCACTGGGCACTGTGACCTTAGGCTCCAGAGCTTCCCATTCTATTGTCAGTGCTTTTCTATGGGGATTATACAAGCTGCGTGTGCACAGTTGAATGCCTGTGTCAGTAATGGGAGGGGGTGTCTGGATACCTTTGGACAGGCAGTGTAATATATTTGTTATATACCTGTGCTGAACTGCTAGAGTCCTACTTCCTTGAAACCTTGGACACAAACTATTTGTCCAGAAGTTTGAAGACAGCTGTTCATCCATCATTTCTTGAAAATCGAAGGTATTAATATGGAGCTTGCTGCAGTAAGCGCCTATGGGGAAACTGTAAGAGGAACAGCCCCAGAGGTCAAAACAGAGGTGTTTTGACCTCTACTTCACAGTTAAGTACTCTTAACTCAGTTTACAGACTAAGAAACCCCCCTTATAATGACGTATCTTAAAGGTAGAAGGAACTTCTCAAGAACTACAAACACTTTGGGGCGGAATGTTTGATTTTTTCTTTCCTGCTAGCTGGCTAACGCAAAAGGACAACATACAGTTAAAGATACATAGTTTAAAAAGTTGCTCCTTTAAGTGTTCAAGGGTTTTATTTTGAACCATGAGTGCTATATAGAACCATGTCATGGTTATATGGTTTTTTGCATGATGAAATGGTTCTTCAGATGGAAGGAGAATGTGTTGTATATGGTTGTATATAGAACCTTTTTTGAAAATGGTCCTACATAGCGCCAAAAAGGATTTTTCTATTATTATGTGTCACGTTTGTAATAAGTGATGAACCCTTTTGTTGCTATACCGAACCATTTTCAAAAAGGTTCTATATGGAACCATCCACAACACATTCTCCTTCAATTTGAAGGACCATTTCACCAAGCAAATAACCATATAACCATGACATGGTTCTATACAAAACTCTGGTTCTATAGAACTCTATAGGCTAAAGAGAACCATAGCCTTTACTAAAGAACCTTTTTCCGGTCACCTGTATGCGGTACTGTTTGACAGACAAACTCATGCAGAGCTGCCCGATGTAGACAAACTGTTTCAGACCGAGGTGACACGGCGCGGCCCAGTAGCTCCGCCAACTTTTACCTTGTTGAACGCTTGCGCACTGTGGCTCTGTAGTGAAGAGTAGTTGTGAATGGGAGGGGAAGAGGAGGAGAGGAGGAGGAGGAGGAGAGGAGGGAGGTGGGGGGAGTATTTTGGGTGTACAGTCATAAGTCGGACTCCGAGGAGCCAGGAAGTAACCGTGAGCCATGCAGCGCGAGGGATAAAAAAGTGAAGCGAGCGCTAGAGAAAGAGAGAGAGAGAAAGAGAGAGAGAGAGAGAGCGAGCAGTTCAGGAGTCCATACTGAGGAGGAAAAGTGAGGAGGAGGGAGGAGAGAGAGAGAGAGAGACGCGCACTCACAGCCTTTTGTGCCAAAATAAGGCGAATATTTACGGCGAGCACGCTGCTCCGCGCGCCTCAGTCACCGCGAGCAAAAGACGGAAGGAAATAAGAGCGGGAATCAGAGGAGAGAGAGAGACGCAGACAGACAGAGAGAGAGACTTTTCGAGGCGACGTTTCTCTCGTAAGGCTCGTCAGAAAAGTCGGCGGAACAGACCGAACTCAGCGCTCAGGATGCCGCGGGTGGTGCCGGACCAGAGAAGCAAGTTTGAAAACGAGGAGTTCTTCAGAAAGCTGAGCCGAGAGTGCGAGGTAAGCTCGAGCCGCCGGAGACGCTTCAGCGAGTGGCGGAAACCGAGCAGAGTCACACGGCAAAGGCAGCACAACAGCAGAGCAGAGCGATGCTGCTCTCAGTCTTAAAGAGCTCCTCACTGTTAGCCTCAGAGAGAAGTTACTCTGCGGCTCACTCCACTTCTCTCCTGCGTTCGTTTTCTCTGAGATTAAACGTGACCCAAACTCACACTTACTCAGAAAGTTCTCCTCTCCTCTTCTCTCCTTTCTTCTCATCTGTTCTCTCTTTCTGAGCTGTAACAGTAAAACTGTGCTAACCTGAGCAGCCTCGACTCGTGTCACCTTCACCGCATCTTTCTTCGCCAAGCACCACACTTCGGCTCCCTTCACACTCATTAGCGTCCACCTTAAAATGGAAAACACGAACTTAACTTACAGACAGTTATTATTTTTGTGGGTTTTGAAGCTAAAGCTGTGAATTATAGAGTTACTTAGGGAGTTTGTTTTCTCAGAAAAGCGTGAACGCCGCTGGCCTCTCAGAATAGCTAAAACGTCCCATCCTTCATGAGTTAAACAGTGTTACTGTGTCTCCGTTTGTGATCACAGATCAAATACACCGGTTTCCGAGACCGACCGCACGAGGAGAGACAAGCCCGCTTTCAGAATGCCTGCAGAGACGGCCGATCAGAGATAGTGAGTATCACTCTCACCTTTTCACCAATAAAGAGAGCCTCTCTCTGCTGTTCTGCCTCTTTCCTGAAATGATGTGCAGCTCCTTTAACTTTTCAGGGTGCAGCTCCTTCACCTGTTTACAAACCGCTGCACCTTTTTATCTGTTTAGACTCAGTGTGCCTCACTCCTGCACTGCTGCACATTTGGTGAGGAGCTGCTTTAGGAAGTTTCAGAAATGGAGAGTGGCAGTTCATTTCACCTTTTCAGAAATAACTGGCTTCTAGTTTTATTACAGTGACACAGGATCTAATGAACAGCTGAATTTGAACCAGTCAGTTGATTAAACTCGTGTCAGTGTCAGCATCTTTCACAAACATTAGCTATTAGACACCCGGAACTGGCTGTGTCCAACACTTCCTCATTTTCTTTATGTGTCAGACAAGCACAGAAAGGACCCTGATTTTATGAAATGCTGTTACGTATTATTTACAGTGTCTGTACAAAATGAGCGCTAGTCCTGTTAAAAGTAGAGTTTAATGGTTTTAGGTATGCTGATGAATTGTGTGTCTGTCAAGGATTTGCCCCTCAGCCACTGGATTCTGTCTGCACTTTTCTTTTCATCATCTTCAAAAGGTTCTCTCGCTGCTCGCCGTGATGAACTCGGATGTGTCTAATTTTAAAGACTCTTATAAATACCTCTAGCCTGTGCTTGTTAACAGTATGACGCCGTTACATTTCCAACAACAAAAACTGCTGGTTTTTTATACAGTGGAGGGAATGAGAGAGCTGATTCTTTGTCTTCAGAACGTTTTGTAAAGAAATGTATTTCTTGTTCCCCCCTTTGCTTTGGGAGCAAAGATGATAATAAATGTTTAATAAAGCTTAATAGATGAGAGACAAGAGAAAGAGAGAGAATTTTTACTGTTAAACTGTCGCTGACGTGAGCAGATCACAGATTTGTAGATTCCGGTAAAACAACCCAAGGAAAAAAACCCCTCCTTCGTCCTTGGTCAGATTTAATGTATTTATAAGAGCAAGCTTATTTTTAGATGAAAAAAAAGTGGTCTGCACATCATCTGAAAGCTGATAACAGTAATGATTAGCATACATACTTCATGGTGCTCAGTCTTTTGTGTATAAATCATATATTACAGAATGTAAATGCCTGTTGTAGGATAGTGTGTCAGGTATAATTAACAACAAGACTTAAAGCTTATTTACATTAAGATGCAAAATTATCAGTAACTTAACTGGCATAACTGAAAAGAAGGCTTTGATTTACTTCCTAATACACATACTTTACCAGCTGTATAAATGCTGTAATTTGCATATTAGTGTGTGCATGTGCACAAAGCCAATCAGGGTGTTATAACAACAGGTCTGATTGATGTTTATTTTAAAGGCTGCGTGATTCTGTCGATCAGATGTATCTACACTGATCCATATCATAAGATTAAAATTCTGTTTTGTCTTTAGAGCATTTTGCAAAGAAATATATTTCTTGCCCCAAACCCCTTTGTGGGCCAAGATGATGAAATTGCTTAATGAAGTGAAATACATGTTTACCGTCCTCCTGATTTTGCTGAAGTTAGAATTGAAGTCCATGTTTAGACCTTTTATGGCCTTTTATGTGCATGTATGCACAGTGAGAAAATAACCTCCTTATTTTGTCTATTGAGATATTTTTATACCAGTATCTCCTGAACGGTTAACACACATTTTATATCCTGCTCTAAAGTCCAGATTTGCACTGGCTGTTCTCCTTTAGCAGTTCATACACTCGCAGTGTTATTGAATTACTGCGCCATGACTAAACCAGTGTATCAGTCCTGCTGCTATTAATGTAAGTGAAGGGCTGCATTTAAAACAATTTATTGATTTTCTACCTCTCTTTCTCTGTCTGTTATCTTTGCCGTGTCCATCAGACACTCACTCCATCGTTCTCTCTTTCTTTCCATCCTTCACTGGCTCTTTAAAATCCAGTGTGCCGCAGCCCAGCTTGCCAGCAGTAAGAGTTGGTAAAGTAAAATCAGATGTGTGTAACTCGATACTTCAAATAGAGAAAATGATGACTTGTGTTTTTTTCTCTCTCTCTCGCTCTTTTGCTCTCTCTCTCTCTCTTTCTCTCTCTCTCTCTCTCTCTCTGTCTCTCTCTCTCTCTCTCTCTCTCTCTCTCTCTGTCTCTCTCTCTCTCTCTCTCTCTCTCTTTCTTCCCCTGGCCCTGGCTCCAGGCTGTTTTCCTCCTACCCCTTTCTGATGTGCAAAAGAAATGACGGGCTGCATAATTAATGCTCAGGCCGGGCTTTCTGATCCTGTTTGTATTGATTTCCCTCTAAAAGGCTTTTGTGGCGACTGGCACCAATCTCTCGCTGCAGTTCTTCCCTGCTAACCTGCACGGAGAGCAGAGGCAGATGCCCACCCGAGAGTACGTGGACTTTGAGCGGGAGCCAGGAAAGGTAATCCCCATTAATGTCGGTCTGAGTGTTTGTCTGACTGTCTGACTGTTTGCCTGTCTGTCTGTCTGTCTCAGGTTAACAGCTTTACCATTCTCTCACTCTCTAATCTTTAACCCTTTAAACTCCTAGAGCCTGTATTTGGGCCCACGGTTCAGTCCAGCTCAAGTACATACAGTGACCCCAAAAAGTGTTTGGACATTTTTGCCATGATTAAAAAAGTGTTAGACAACAAAATATCAAACCAAGTGCTATTTTTGAATAAAGCATTCCAAGACTGTCATTTTTTAGCACAGTGTTTTTTCAAAAGGCGAGTAGTGTATTTCAAATCGCTATCATTTCAGAAAGAAAGCAGTTTTTTGCAGACATCTGTAGGTGTGCATTCACAATGCCTTTGTACACCTCTGAGTTCATGAATCCCATCAATGTACACTAACTCATTAACACCACTGTAAGAAAAACAGCCCCAGACTTGGCATTTCCACCTCTGTGCTTTACAGTGCTCTTACTGCAGTCTGATTGGAATTCTTCTCCAAACAAAGAGTGTTCTTCTCTGAAACAAGTAACATTTTATGAAATAACATAAATTACTTCTTTGAAGGTTACCAACAATTAGTGTCCAAATATTTTTGGGGTCACTGTAGCTTAGATATGAGTTTTATAGTAGTTACTGAATCATTTATAGTAGTTACTGAATTAGAATCTTTAAGATTAATAACTGAATAATAATTCTGTGGTTCTGTTGGCTAATAAATCATTTGTCCTCATTCTGATCTTCTTTATATATCTTCAAATATGCAAATCTCAAAGTCACCTGCTTCTCAAAATTGTAATGCTCTCTTTCTTTTTTGTCCTCTGCGCTCCACACAGTTTATTCTGACTCTCTTTTAAATGACCTTTAATTAAAGCGTTTTTGTCATGCTAAAGCACAACGAAATGCACAACCTAGATGAAACGTGAACTGGCTAGAGAGATTGTGTCTTTTATACTCCCACATCGCTCTGCAGAGGGATTGTGTGGAGACTCTTGATTCTGTCGGGTCTCCGGTTTTGATGGGCAAAGGCCTTGGTTTTCCGTAATGATATGTTTCTGTTTCACACATCTTAGGGAAAAATGAAAACTCACACTATTACGCTTGAGCTCCCTGCAAGAAAAACACCCTCTCTTGAATGAAGCATGTCACCGTTTTCCATTTTATACTTTAGCTGTAGTATTTCATTTCAGCTGTGTTATTATTTTAGACATGCCCACCGCTTTTATATTTTTCAACTGGTCCCTCCACCTCCCCTTCTCTTTATGCATTCATGTGGGATGTGTAGTCTAGCACAGACTCTCAAAAGCCAGACGAATGTAAAATAAACCTATACAATAATGCCCTTGTTCTCCCCTTAAAACCATGTCATTTCTGTTATTTAAGTTGGTTTTTAAGTCTTTGGTTTTCTGTACTTATTTTTTTTATAAATCTGACTATTTTACTAATATCCTTTAGGGCATTATAAATACTGACTTAGGATCTGCTGCCCTGTAACTGTACTCAAACACAAAAGAAAAAAACAATCAGCACTTTTTCTGTACTGTACCGAGAATGTGTTAAAACAGACAGTAAGCTCCTCCACATTGTTCCCATCAGTACAAAGGCTCGAGTCATCCAGAAATCAGTGAGTCATCTCAGTGTCATATGAGCCCTGTTCCTTCTCTGATATGGATGTGCTTTCAGGCCCTGTAAAAAGCCTGAAAATGTGCTATGTTTGTCACTTCGCCCTGCTCCGCCTACAGTTAATAACATGCTGTTTTCTAAACAGCCTGTCTATGTTCACCATACTGTCCAGTGCGAATCAAATCATAACCGAGGAACAGTTTATTAAGCACTGATTTCAAGGCAGTGCTCAATAAATTTGGCAGAGTGAATTCTCTGAATGTTGCTGTATAGCCCAATAACGAATTATCATACATTCAAACAAAAACTTGAGCCCAGTTGGCAGCTTTTGGTGTAAATGAAGACCATTTAATACACATGCAGAGAGATTCTCTGATGACCAGCCCCTGTAGAATTCCTCCTCTGGCTTTGGCGCGTAATGGTGTTTGTTTGAAATGCATTAGCAGGGCACTTCTAGGCTTTTGTTTGTGTTTTTTTACTTCACGCTCGGGCAGTCTTGGTGTTGTTGGCTTTTCCGCTGTGGAGGGCTTGGAGCTCTCTTCACGGGCAGTGCCTCGCTGAGATGCACTCATTAAAAATGCATCCGTGAGAAATCGATGGACCTTTCGGCCCCCAAGCTGACGGACTAATCTTTGGCTGTTAATTATTTAAAAAGGCGTGACAGGTTGTGCATGTGTGTGTAGTGCTGTGCTGATGACTAGCTGAGGATGTGTGTATGTGTGTTTGCGAGGTCAAGCTTGCTGGTAACCTTATATCCCTGTCCGTCACCTCCGGCAGAACTCGGAGCCATGCAGCTTTAATGAGCCTCACACTGTCTGCTTCTAAAACATCCCCACTGGATCTCACAAAGCAGATTCCCCTGCCTTATGCTAAACAGCATTATGTTATGTTCCTGCCACTGCCGAATCCAGCCTTAAAGTATGCTGAAAAAGTCAGACTGAGTGTCACGTGTGCCTTATAACTAGTGTCTTTCACTTTTTGTTATTAGTTTCAAGTGAGGCTTGTGGCAGAGTGAGCTCAAGGAAGCACTGAGGACTTTAGTTTTTTTTAATGTAGACCCTAGAGTGGATAATTTCCGTTTTGGAGCAGCAGTGATCAGAACAATGGCAAAATAACCTTATCTTTATTTGGACGTTATTGCACAACACAAATGAAATATTGCTGTGTTGCCTCTGGTAAGAGTCATCCTTGAAGACATAGGGACTGTGTTATTGGAGATAATGCCCCAAACAATAGGTCCTGACAGGTTTATACCCAAGAATCAAGTTTTAGAGTGTGGGTTTCCTTTCCCCTTTGTTCAAAATGAAACCCTGCAAGACCAACTGCACTGATAAGGTCTCTCTTTCTCTCTTTCTCTTTTTCTCTCCTTCTGTGTGCCACTCTTTTTCACATTTTCTCTATTGATTTCTATCAACTGCTCTTACTTGTAGCGTACTTAAATATGTGCGCTGTTTGCTGCACTAAATTCCCAGTAGAACACAGCTGTCAAGCCAGGAGAGTTCATGCGTATTCTCCAACCTCTGCTCCTAATTAAACTGATTGGTAACCTTTTGCACAAACAGTTCCTTCCTCTGCACCAAAGTTTTAATAGACTGAAGCTAAAAAACCCAAATAAATAGTACCTTAGCTGAAAAGTACACAAAGTCACGGTCGATCCAGACGTGCTAAACTGACTGAGGCATTCGAAGCTTGTCACCAGGAGCTTGTGATCTCTGGCTGCTTATTGGCTAAGTATGCCAGTAAAGCTGTGTATTGGCTGAGCCTCTAATCGTAAATCAGTCATCAACGACTCATTCGTCACTCATGGTGGGCACTCTAATGGCTGTTTTTCACTACTAGACTACCACTACTAAAAAGCCCACTCTGTGATAAAAGGTGAGTCAAGTCATAAAACGTGAGCGGGCTATAGTAAGGCAGGGAACACCTTAATGAAGCATAATTATGTAGCTCTGACACACAACCATTTGATGATGAATACTATAATATCACAGTAGCCACAGAATGAAAGGCTTTTCAAGAAGTGTGTTTAAAAAGTACAAAAAGAATGCAGAATTTTAAAATGTGCACTTTTTTGTGCATTTATAAATGCAGGTTTTAAAAGTTCTCACTTTTATGGTACTATTTCTATTTCATAATGTTCCAGAGTTTAACACTTTTGTCTAGTGGCTTGGCATACCTACCCTGGAATATTTGAAGGCCAGGGGGTGCTTGCGTAAAATGTTTTAAATATTTATCTTAAGTTTTAATGCTTTAGAGATGGTTTTAACCTATGCTGCGGGACGATATAAGTGCATGGCATTAAATTTCTTAACTGTTTCCATAGTCAAAGAATATACTTAAATATACATGCTTAAGCAGTTTCAGAAACTTGATAAAACGTAAAGTCAAGGTGGAGAGTTGAGATGTTATGTTTAAGTTTATTTAGGATATTTAAGTTATGTTTTTTAACTTTGAACTGACATATTTCTCTAAATTCATGTTAAACTGTCGATTAAGGCCAGAATTGCCAGACGTTTACAAACTTCACAACTCTAATAGTTATTTGCCTAAGAATACAGTATAGAAAGGCACGTATGAACTCTGTGCTCCTGCTTCTACCCTGCTTTTCACTTCCGTGTTTTCCTCATTTGAACTCAGACAGACAGGTTTGCAAACTTTCTCTCTCTAGTTCTGCCTCTTAGTTTCTCGTTCTCTTTGGGCTTGGGGGAGGCTCTCGTCTATAATATTCTTCTTCGGCAACCCCCTCCTCCTACCCTTGTGCTCCCCTCGTCCTCCTCCCCTTTTCTCCCAGTCTGAAAACACAGGCGTTGCCAGCAGAAGCGGAGCTGGGCCAGTTTAAACTTGGCCTGTGGCGGGGGACAGTAGTATTATCTGAGTGGGGCGGCAGAGCCCCCGCAGCACAGCTTAAGTACAGGCTCCCAGTGTCACTGCAGGCTAATGGGAACCAGCTGTGGGGGAGGTTAATTTTAGCGGTAGCTAGCATGGCCTAGGGAGGAGATGTTAACCCTGTCCCAGCCAGGAGCTCTGCTACAAGCCTGCTACAGTTAGCTCCTTATCCCTGTACAGTGTGCTTCTAATGAGGGACGTGGAGTGAGGCAGGAGCATGTTACGGCCTCTCTGACTTCCTTAGTTCAAACACTGGGTGGGCATGTTTTAGCTCAATAGCCACGTCTCTGTGAATGATGATATGGAGGAAAAACATTTCATGAAAACTCTGTAACTCTGTAACTCTGTGCACTTTTACAGTTGTTGGAATGTATTGTTTTTGACCATAGAATATAATGGGAGAAATAACAAATTCAAATACTGTAAAAAAGACTTTATTCAGATTTTTTTATTATGAAAC